GAGATAAGACGAAAGGAGAAGGAAAACATCACACCTCGCCGCCGTAATTCACTTTTGATGTCAAATCCTGATGCCGAAATTGCAAGAGTCGGCGTTGGGCCCAGCCCTACTCTTATGGATTACGACTGTTTTCGAGAGTTCGTGGCAGCCACTGCCAAATGGGCCACTACAGACTCTCCAGCGCGCCAAAGTATTTCCCCAACCGAGCGGGGTACTTATTCAAATTCAGGTATCAGAGGACGGAGCAAATCATTTGATGTTAACGGTGCCACACGGGCCGCCGACCACGAGTTCATGAGGCGACTGTTCCGCAACTGGGATGTCGATAAAGTTCAAGGTCTAAGCCTTCAAAATGTTGTGAACGGGATGGTTCGCATAAAAGGATCTAGGGATATCATGAATACGATCAACTACTTTTTCGAGCTGTACGATGATAATGGGACTGGCCAAGTTGATAGGGAAGGCATCCTTAGGATGTCAGAAGCGTTACTCTTCCTTTCAAGAAGAGGATTCGATGGTACTTTGGTTTCGAGTGACCCGGCAGAAACTAATAACGCTGTATTATCCGTGGAGAAGGGGCTTGGGGGTAACACTACCTTAAGTACTGAAGAGAAATTTCTAGGAAGTGTTAGCGACTTCATACGCCGGTGCTTTGAGTACGCGGATCCCAGTCATCCATCGAACCAGGAGAAGTCAACAAGTGAGACCGAGCGCAAGGTAGACGCATTTGCCATTGGAGACGACGAAGACAATGATGGAGACCTTATAGACTTAGAAGATACGGATGTCGCCAATAAAAATCAAGCAAATTCACATTCCAATAACCCCTCATCTTCACCACAAAAATCCACTGCCCCCTTACAAACCAGTACAAACTACAAACAAGCTTCCGAATCTGCAAACCTCGCCCTCGATCCTGCCCACCCACTACATATCACCATCCCGACTTTCCGCATGGTAATCCTCGCCGACGAACTCCTCGAACAATTCTTCGAGACCTTTTTCCCTCAATCTTTCCACCTCTCCGACACTCCCGACATGGCCTCCCTTCGCAACAACTCACTTTCTTCTAACCTCACGACATTCACCAACCTCGGCGCTAGACGTCATGGTGCCGGTACGGTGTCAAGCATCGGCGCCACCGTCGCGGGAGCCTCTGGCGGCATAGTTCCTCCAGGCCACAAGGGCCTACGCGGCGTCCTGGACAATATAGTGTCCGATGGGATGCGCATGGCAGCAGAAGTACGCAAGAAGATGGATGAAGCTCAACGAGAGTTGGAGGAGAATGCACATGCCGGGCGGCCGGATGATGACGACGATGAAGAGGACGATGGGATGTATGACGATAGCAGAAGCGGACATGGCCCGACAATGCCTGGCGGCGGAAGATCCTCCGCGCGTGATGCGGATCGTGATTTGTTGGAAGGGGCTGAGGTTGCAGCTTAGAAGATTGATGTGATGGAGATGGGAAATACGATGCCGGCGCAGTTGTAGCTGACGGCAAGGGTTAGCTCAAGAATTTCGATTATAGGCTACTGAGGTCTTGACCTGTTATATGGAATACGGCGGCAGGAGTGCTTTTTTCTTCCCTCCATTTTTATGTTATATATTATTTTGGTTTCGATGACGTATACTATCCCACACTGGCCTTCTCCTGTTTCCATAGCTTGTTTGATTTTCGATATCAACCCCTTGTTGTTATTTTAGCTATTTTCTGATGAATCAAATCATTTTTCTCCATTAGATTTAAGAAGTCTCCCTTCAAAACGCGCCCCTTTTGTTGATTCCTTTCCGGTATACGTAATGGAAATGAAGGATCGAACCTGTAAAGCTAGTAGGCTCTGGATAAAGATGTTGCCTCAATTGCAGCAGTAAGTTGTGAGATAGTTAATTTCATGATATGCCCCTGGGTTGATCATCAAATTGGAATTAAGTGTGCTGGTTGTGCTTGCCTAGGCAGAGAGTAAACTGGATTTTTGTTCCCTTCTTACTTTTCTCTCTCTTTTTTTTTTTTTTTTTTTTTTTTTTTTTTTTTTGCTGTGATGCAGTACATTCTAATAAATCGGTGGTTACATGTTCTGTTTTTCTATGACAAAGTCCTACCTAGGTAATATAAACTATCCCTAACAACAGGTTATGCGTCCTGGCTGATATCTCAGCTTCCGTCCCATCAATCCGTGGAGATACATGGTTGGATTTTCGCTTTGTTCGATAAAATAAAACTAGTTAGTGGGGAAGGACTAAATCCGAGATCTGCCAGCAGCCAGCTTCGTTTTACCCTTGGAAAAATACAACATCTGTGCGAGGCCTGGCGGAGTTCTTTCCAGCAGAACTCGGTACCCTGGACCAGATTAGATTTTCGTTCGTTTTGGAGCAACCGATTGCGTGACCTGCAAACGAGACACTTGACTCAACATACCGATTGGTTGTATATGAAATCATCAATCGTTCACAGCTTGGAAATGAGAAATAGGTCGATAAATTAGTAGCCAAAAGCAAAATACATATCGGATTCAGTGTCTGTCAGATCTGGGAGGTCATGGTTCAGGTGACCAGCTGCCATTTCCCCTCCTGTAAGGCTGTTCGCGAGTTGAAGTTAGTCCCAGTAGAACTAGTATTTAAAATAGACCTGGGGGGATGGTGGGAGCCCAAAGCGAATAAACTCCCAACAAACAAAAAGAAAAAGAAAAGGAAAAAGAAAGATAATATTGCCCTTTTATAGATTTTGAAGAAATCGAGTGCGAGTAAATATCTGTCCGAATTTGCCCCTTTTTTTCGGCTATCTTGACCAGCTTTGCGCTATATATACACTGACCCTGGCGTGTGTCGTGCGTTGCCCGTGAGGCTCCGCTGGCGTGGTCCTTGCGCCGCCCGCACACTGCTGACTTAATCACCCTTGACGTTGACATCTCCTCTCCTCGACTCCGCCTCCTACGCTCCGATATCAATATCCCTCTTTCCTCTCTCCATGGAAGCCGCTGTCGCTCTTCTTCCGGCGCTATTCTCTGTCTAACCTCTGCTAATGACTGTCATGTTCTAGTGTGTCGCTGGTTCGGGTTCACCGACTGATGAAAATTCCAGAGTCGGCTCCCCCCATTCAACCAGGCTTAACATCCCACATGTTCGTGTCCTCATTTTATCAACGGTTGCTTGAAACCTAACTCTTACCCACGTTGCGCGTGGGATTGCAGGTTAATCTTGCTCTGTTTCCAAATATGGCATACCAACAGAACAGCCATCAACATCATTATCACGGCCTTCCTGCCACTCCTTCGCCGCAACATCATCCCGTGCACCAGCAACAACAGCATCCACAGTCGCAACCCTTTCAGTACCCTGCGCAGTATGCGCAGACCCCTCCACTAGCTGGCCAACAGACTGCCAACGCATTGCGACGGACGACAAGCTTCGATGCTGGTGATGATCGGAATTACTTCGATGATAACCGTCAACGCACCGGTGCTGTTGCTCCTGGCCATCCCGGGCAAGCTGGCCATGGTGGTGGATATGCGAGTTATTCGAGTGGCGTTGTGAACAACAATGCGACGAATAATCTGGGATCGAGGAATTTGCAGTTTTCCGTGGGAGGTTCACAGCATTCCGTAGTTAGCCAGACTTCATCGCACGGAGTTGCGGCCATGTCGGGGTACCAACATCAATATCAACCTCATACCTCAACTGCCACTCTCCAAGCTTCCTATAACCCCGTGCAGTTCTACCCCACGCCGCCAGTCCATTCGCAGCCGGCATATAATCCACAGGCGTTCGTCCCCGCAAGTACCTCCAGTAGTACTACCAGCACGTCATACAACAGCCCGGCCTCCCAACATTATAATCCGGCCGCGTATCAGACACCGCCATCAGCCACTTATCAAGCATCTCCCATGCCTTCATGGCAACCTGTCACTCCCGGCCAGTCGTATGGATTCTCTCCACAACCCCAATTCCAGTTTCCACAGTCTGCATCTCAGCATTCACAAGTACCGCCCCCGCCCCCTCCTCGGGCCAGCGAGACCAGCTACTCTGCATATTCAGCGCCGCAATATGTGGATTCATCCCCACGTCCAACGTACGGCTTTCCCTCCACTATCTCCCAAGCAACCTCATCCGTATCTCGCATCGCCTCACAGCCAACATACTCGGCTACGCTTCCATCCCAGACTGTTCACAATGCGGGCCAATACACGGCGGATGGTTCGACCACGACCGTTCCGGTGAGACCTTATTCTCAGACTTCTCACACCGCTTCCTCGTCTCCTCATCCGCCTCCGCATAGCACGATTTCACATGAATCGTCCCCTCAGCCGTCGTCCTACGCCTCTTTCGATGGCGGATTGCCTGTAGGCTATCAAACAAGTAACGCGGTGCAGAACCCTATTCACCAGCCAGACCAAAATTCACCCAGGAGAATGGATACTCTGAATCGACATCCACAGTCGAGACCATTACCTGGACCGCCGCCGGAGCGCAGCAAGCTGCACCGTCTAGGGTAGATGGCAGAGAGGCATTTGAGCCGAATTATGAAAATATGTCAGACAGGCTGATGGCTCAATTATAGAAAGCCAGCCAGCTGGCTCACGGCAAAATTCGCAAACGAGCTATCCCAATCCTGGCTTGTCGCAGGAAAGTGTCGTTGATCGCACTGCACCACTCTCCGCATCACCTCACGCTCATGCATCTCCAGACACACGCTACTCACACATGAATGGCCATGGTCACATAACTAACGCAGGGCCCGGTTTTAATATTAACTATGATGCACATAGTGATGACGAAGATGCTGAGGCAGCTGCTGGCCTGGCAGCATTACAAATGGCAGAAGCGGAGGATGCGCTCTTCAATGCGCGACAAACCACAAATCCGGCAGCGAGCGGCTTCCGACCTGTCTCCGGTCTACTCCCCACTATTCCAACCCCGTCTAGCCGAGTTGAGTCAAGTAGCGATAGTGACTATGCACATTATGATATGGGGCTATACGGTGGAGGCTATGATGCTCGTCTTCACTATGGTGATACCAATCTGAGCATTAGCCCAGGTACTGAACAACTTGCAACTGCATCTGGTTCATTACGAAGCTCAAATAGGTCCACAGATGACCGAGGAGCACATTCAGATGGTTACGATTACCCAAGTATTGATCAAGACTCCATTCATCCGTTCCCATCCCATAGTACTCAAACACGAGTGGATGGCATCTCAACTGGGCCCCTGCCAGAACGGAGTATCGAAAACAGAAGAATGAGCTTTGACCACGGTGATGAAGGCTCCATAAATCGATCGTCCAGCCGGCCGATCTCGTTCGGCGATACTACGGATGAAGGCGAACCCCAGGACTTATTTTTCCACCCGGGAATGTCTTCCCGGCCTCTACCTCCTGCGCCTGTCCCTGCAGCAAGCAGCAATCTCATCCCGCACTTGATGCCTGCTGGCACCTACCGGAGCCGGGCCCCCATTCCGGAACCATACAATACCTATTCACAACCTCCTTACTCATCCAATCCAGAAGAGTTCGTTTCATCCCCACTGGCGGTTCCACGATCGATATCTCTTTCGACTCATACGAATAGTCCTCGCGCTGATCCGATTATTAGGTCGAAAACGGACGCAGACCGGATTAGACTCAAGCAAGGCGCTTATGATACGCCAACTCCGACACCTGTTACGCTAGATCTGCCTACCATCCCATCCGGAAGACGCAATAAGTTTAATCCTACCAAATTGTCTACGGAGCAATTCAGAAAATGCACTGAACCCTGGGCCCTTAGTGCCATAGTCGCATGGATAAAGGGATTGAGCGAAGATGAGGCCGATTTGAGGAAACAGACCGTCATCGATGCCATTGTCGCCTTGTTTACCCATAAAGTCCCAACCATGAACACCATTGATGCGGAAGTTCTGGGTGACAGGGTCGTGGAAAATATGTTGAATGAAGGTGTGCTGATTAAAGATGAAGAATGGGTTAAGTTTGGTCCTGGAACACTTTCCGGTGTTTTCTGGCAGATCAGCGGTCAAGGTTGCTACTCGTCTCGTCTACACTTGCAGGAAGGAGAATCTGTTGGTCGCTGCTATTCTCATTACTGCATGCGAACTCTAAAGAAGGTCAATCTCCAGGCGCAGGCTATGGAACCGGAGAAAAAAGCTGAAGACTGGGCAACATTCTATAAAGTGGGAAAGGAAATATTTGATACTCATTCCAAAAAAGAAGTCGATCGGCAGAATATCCTTCACGAGATTGTCACAACCGAAGATGCGTTCATTGGACAGTTGGATGTCTTACGAACTTTGTACCGTGATCAGCTCTCCGAATTTGATCCACCAGTGATTAACCCAAAACGCCTCAGCAAGTTCTTAGATGAAGTCTTTGGAAAGGTCGATGCTGTCAAAAAGGTCAATGAGGATCATTTACTTGCACAATTGAAATATCGACAAAAGGAACAGGGTCCATTTATTGTTGGCTTTAGTGACATTTTCCGTGAATGGATTAGACGAGCCAAGGCTGCTTATATCGATTACGCAGCGACCTTTCCGAATGCAAATTACCTTGTCCGGAGAGAAGCTGAAACAAACTTGATGTTCAGGCAATTCTTGAATCAAGCCCGAGACAACAAACTCTCAAACCGATTAAGTTGGGATACATACTTGAAGGCTCCGATCACACGTATCCAACGATATGTTCTTCTCCTAAATACCGTATTAAAGAGCATAGACAAAGACTCTGAAGAGAAGTCTAATTTGATACAGGCTATAGACGAAATAAAGGCTGTTGCTTCAGAATGTGATACGAAAGTCGGAGATATGGCCAAAAGTGTGTCTCTGAAGGAATTAGGATTGAAACTTCAGTTTAGGCCCGAAGTGAAACGGGAATTTGAATTTAATCTTGAGCACTTAGAGATTATTTTCCAAGGAGATCTACAACGTCCGCGGACAAAACGGTTTAATTGGGTTGACATACGCGCTGTTTTGTTCGATCGGTATCTAATTCTTGCGAAAATCGGTTTCACACGAGATGCGGCACGCAAAGAGATTTATGATGTCTCCAAATTTCCAATACCAATGGACCTGCTAATGCTCGAGAGCACTAACGATGACCCTGTTATGAGATCTTCGGTCAGGGGGATAACTGCCGTTTCAGCACCTGCTGCTGGTAGACTTTCTTCTCCGGCTGATCGGAGTAGCCCTACGCCTGGTGCGCTGGCCCACGCTGCTACTAGCTCTTCCACCACCTCAACCAATTCGTCCCTATCCAACAAAACGATGGTCCCTACGTCAGTGCTTGACAACGCTAGGGATGACAAAATTTTATATCCATTTAGAATCAAGCACCTCGGTCAGCCAGACGTTTACACCCTCTATGCACCCACTGCTCAAAACCGACAAGAATGGTGTGAAAAGATTATCGAGGCCAAAATAAAGCATGCTAAATCTCTCCATGCTCAGAATGCGGAGCCTTTCAAGCTTCGTGTGCTTTCTGACTCTGCATTTGCTTATCCAGAACATGCAGTTGCGCCTAAAACCGCAGTAATTACAGGCACTCCCCTGGATCGAGCGATACGTGAGGTTGAAGCTAGGTATGAAGGGAGTCTGTCGCGACCATTGCCAGTTTGCAGAGCTGCGGTCAACTGCGCTACGGTATTCCAGCAACCACATGGGCGATTGATGTGTGCAATTGGAACAGATTACGGCGTGTATATATCTGAATACGACAACCCTAGAGGCTGGACTAAGGTAAGCAATGCCTCCCAAATTTTTAGCTACGCTTCGTTGCTTTCATTCCTAACCTCTCCTCCACAGGCGATATCTACTACTCGAGTAACTCAGATTGCTGTTTTCGAAGAGTTCAACTTGTTCCTGCTCATTGCAGACAAATCTTTGATTGCTCACCACCTCGACGTGGTATGCCCGCCAAGTGGAGTTCCTACGCAAAGCGACTCACAAAGGCGTGCGCCTCAAAAGTTGTCTGGTAACCGAGAAGTTGGATTTTTTGTTGCAGGCCGAATGAAGGACAGGGCTCTTGTGATTTACAAGAAGCGTGATGGAATTACTTCCACTTTCAAGGTATTGCCATTCAGATCGTCTCATAACAAATACACCTGGAGGATTTCGTAAGTGTAAACGGCTCACCAATCATTGACAATTTTCCTCTTAGGCTCTGGAACCTGTTCTACAGAAATCCTCCTCGTCCCGTCCGCGATTCATGCAAACACGCCGTGGGCACACCGAATTTTTCCGTGACTACGACGAGTTCTACATCCCAGCAGACAGCTATAGTATCAATCTTTTCCATTCTTCCCTAGCCATTTCGACGTCCCGAGGCGTCGAGGTACTCACACTAGACAAGAAGCAGCCATGGTCTGTTCCAAACCTCCGTGCAACCTTACCAGAAAACCAACCGGCCCTCAACCAAATTGGCAACCGAATTAAACAATCTCCGGCCTTTGGGCATGTTTCGCCTCACCGACAGAGACTTCCTCTTGGTCTTCGTTGACTGCGCTATCTACATTGACAAATATGGAGAAGTTAGTCATGGAGTGATTATGCAATTCCTCGGCCGTGCAACATCAGCCTGTCTTTATGGGAAATTCCTCATACTCGTCAACGAAGATTTTGTCGAAATCCGCAATGCTGTGAACGGGCGACTTAGACAAGTCATTGCAGGCCGTAATGTAACGCTTCTTGACGATGCTGGGAATGGGTCTAACGGTTTTGGCAACGCATCATCAGCCAATTTTAACGAGGCGGCTGCGACAAACCCCTTAAGTGGGCAGAATGGGCTGGGTCTTTCGACTGCACTTTCGACCGCCGGTCGGACTGTAAAAATTTGCATGCAGCACCCTGAACACGAGCGCAGTCAAGTTGTAGTGGAGCTACTAGAAAATCAAGGGTTAAAGGAATGATTCTTACTTCTGCGATTTTGGGTTTTGTTTCGTGTTTTCTGGCTATTTTTGCTGACTTTTTTTTCCCTTTTTTTTCTTTTGTTTGGCAGTTTGCCATTTACCTTTTTTGACTTTATACTCACCTTTGTTCTCTCTGGATCTTTAATCCATTGGCTTCTTCGTTTTGGATGTTATGATGGGTTGTTTTATATACCAATTTATATCCACTGCTTTTACACAACCCCTTTCAGTTTTATCTTCTGTTTCGTGTTCCCCATTTCAAAGTGATTACTTACTTTTCTTCCGTTTTTATCGGCTATTCCACCATCACTTTTCGTTCTTCTTTCCTTCTCTTTTATTCCTCTATTTCCTTTCTCTTCCTTCCAAACCTCATTGTAAATCATGACTTCAATTTTCAGATTTCTTTTTTTCTTTCTCACCATTATTTCTTCACTTCTGACGCTAAATTTTGTCCTCATACATAGGCCTTCTCCCACATTTCCACTGAGCGACTAGTTCTGAGGATCAAGTTTATTTTATTATTTTTGTAACTTTCACTCTGATGTGGGTAAGCACCATTTAGTGCTTGATTTGATACGTTAAGTATCCTGATACCTCTAATTATGCATTCCACTTTCACTTACGAATGACATCTTCTGTTTTTACATCGATCCGGTTTTTGTCCATTGTTCTTGTTCACTTGGAAAAGTAAACTCAACCCCCTTGTTGAGAACACTTACATTTCTATAGAGAGCGCTATTTCCTTTCCATTCGCAACATATTTCATACCAAAACATCAGCGGTCTGCTGAAGCGCGACCCTCCAGCTTACAGGGGATAGTTATGTAACTTCATGAAGCGCCCCTTTGTCCTGGCGTAACTGGCTCAATGTCCATAATTGCTATGGTAGGTATCCCATATCGTACAGATAATTGGCGAGAGTTTCATATATCTGAACTTCTAGAAATATAAGACACAAACGGCGAGATGATGGCAGCATCTCCGTTGTCTAGACATGTCACCCGCTTACGAAGTTGAAGGTGAGGCAATAGCATGACGTGGTAATGTAGAATATATATATTCCTTTGTCCCCATGCATGCTACATTAGATATATTGTGGGGCGTTTCAACATTCCTCAGCGTGGGCGGAAGGACGATATTTTTAAGATAATTTTTGCATAACTCGCCGTTGAGTCATCGGTCATACTCGCTGGCTCGATGTGCATCGCATTCCCCTGGCGATAAATTCCATTGCGGTATCAAGATAGCACCGATCCACGCATACAGATACGTTTCCACACAACCCAGGATCTATACCTGAAGCATGTGGTATAACTTGTGCATCTCTGCATCTCACTCCTTGGTTGGATCCTCGTGCTCTGAAAAACCGAGCCTCACTTAAATAAATAATCTGTTGGGGGGATTGGATTGGGTGATTCGTACCCTCTATCACCACGGCGCTGGTGGTGATTGAGCTCTTTTGCCCTAGTGGCCCAATATAATCGTCATTGATATTTGAGTAGAGGATTTGGGACCCATTGCATTGTAGCCCTCAACAAGTGCAGGGGTTCCATAGCACCTCAGGGAAAGTCGGCCAGCATAAAATATATGTATAAATCAACAAGCGTAACCAGCCCCAATTATATATATTGAAAATACGAGAAAAAACCAGAGCCTTTGAAACATAATATACATAATCTCAGGAAAGTCTTTCGTGTTAGCGCCTCTGCCCCAGATTGTAAAGCATTGCAGCGTACTTCACATGAATATGTAGCAGTCTCATTTGTGAATGCACCCGTACACTACGTCACTCTCACTTGCAAAGCAAAGAGAAAAATGGGGGAAGTTTAAAGGTTTAAGTCCAAGTGCAGTAGGGATAAGACACAGCCACTGAAAAACACATATAAAGAGTCAGTTCTACCTTTGCAAATACTTCCGGGAACCACAACAAAGCAAGTGAAAGTCGAATCAGACCCATTGACTTGGAATCAAAGGAATATTCACCGTTCATTCAAAAGCTGGTCGTTTCCTCACTCTTATCCCACTCACTGCTCTGCAAAAAATGAAGTATCACTTTGTACTCTTTCCCCTCCTGGTAGCTGTTGTGCTCAGCACCCCGACGAGATCAAAAAGCAATTTATCCACGGTAGGTTCAGAGAATCTCGGAAATTCCCTTAGCTCTTCGTGAGGCTTGATTGCTGATTCCTAAAATGGAAACCTAATTCTCATGTAATTTTAGGTAGCTCCTCCGTAGACCACCCACTTATGTGAAAGTCGCTAGGG